ACCTGGCCCAGAGGCAAACGGCCCTCAATGGAGGTATCATCTGCGTGAGCTGGGAGCTAAGCTGGCCTCTTGGCCGCTTTGTTGTTGTTGTTGTTTCCCACCTAGCACCATCCAAAGAGAAGTGCTCAGTTACTATCAGTCACCTGGGTTTGGGGTTTTCTATGTGGCTGAAGTTTTCGGAGATCCCTGCAGCCCAAAATAGCAGTTGCCCTGGTTGTATCAGGAGGGGAGGATGATGTTTGGTCCATTGCTGCTGCTGCTTTTTCTGACTGTCACATCCTGATGCTCTTGAGCAAAGAGATCATATCGCAGTTGCTGTGCTCCTGCTTTGAATTTGGACAGGACCCTGCACCTCTCTGTAACGAGGAGGTGAAGCTAAGACTGGTTGGCCCTCTTTCCTAAAGCTTTCTGTTTTAAGGCTCCATCTCAAAAGGAGATAGAGGACTCCAGGCAATATTGACACCACTCGTCTCTGCGAGTCCTCCTGTGACTTCCCCAACTCCAAGTCACAGGTCCTGCGGCTCATGGCTCAGTTCGTGGGCGGCTGGGTACACGTGGCAGCTTTAGTAATCTTGCTTACTGGTGCCTTACCAGAGGACTGTGCCGTAGGGTTAGAAATCGCACCGTAGTGTTGCTCGGTGATCTGGAGGCACGTTGGTACGATGAACACCTATAAATGATTTGCTTGCTGTACCCGCGGCAGCAGCTCTGGCTGTTCCCAGGGTTACCTACCGCTGTTGTTGGAGGGAGCAGCATGACCGTAGGCACTGCAGTTTGCATTTTATACCTCTCTGATTTTGTTTTCCGTTTATGGCAAACGACATTTCTTGTTTTAAAACCCCCGAGAAGGCTGCAATACAAATGAGCTGCGAAGTGGCACGTGAAAGGCAGATGGATCCTTGCTGGTGCGGAGCGGTGCCAGTTTGGGTGGAGCCCTGGAGTGAATGCCGCTTTGGTGAAGAGTTTCTCACCCGGGACTGGCTAGCAGGAGTTAATCTGATCTCTGATGTAGAGAGGAGGCTGGTGCTGGGGGGAGTCCCCTCCGGCTTCAGGGAAGATAATGTGCCATTCAGGATGGGGATGACAGGTGCCTTGCTCACAGACACAAAACCACACTGGCCGTCATCCTTGTAGTCTGCCAGGAATGAAAGCTAAGATGTGTCAGGCTGCTTTCTGGGAAAAGGGCTTGGTCGTTCCTGTCTGGGCTGTGATTGCCGTCAAATAGTCCCCCCAGCTGCCTGGCACCCAGTCTGGAGTCAGAGACCCCCCAGTGGCCCCATCCCCTTGGAAGTATGGGCATGGGAAAACAAACACCATCCAAAGCATGTGGTTGGGTGCCTTGGTCACCTTCGTTTGCTTTTGCAGCCTTCAGCAAAACACCGCTGTAGGTGTTTCATTGTACAAGTCGCTATTGTTGCATTAAATATTTCGTGCTTATTTTTAAATAAACTGTGGAGCAGAGTCCCGCTCCGTTGCCTCCCAGGGGCTGTAGTGCTCTGACCCTTGGTAACAGAAGGTGACTCCATAACGGCCACTTGTTTGTGCCTGGGAATGAAGCTGGCCTTTATCCCAAAAGCCTTCCAGGGTTTTTTTGTGCTTTTCTGAGTTCAGGCCAGTCACCGCTGCCCTCTCCCCTGCCTGGCTGCGCATTCCTG